AGATTCACATAACAAGCTACAAAACGGAAATGAAATCCTTCAAGACTTGCTCACCAAAAAAATAAATCCAAATTTAAAGAACAAGAGAAACTTTCACAATTTATTTATATTTGTGTATGTATGTGTATATAGCGTGGTATTATGCTCATGGACTGAGTTGTCTAACTACAAATTAATTTAAAAAAATAAAAATCTTTTTTTTCCAGCATTGGAAAATAAATGTGTGACAATGTTAAAACATATATTCTTGAAATTTGCCAAATTTAGGGCAAAACAAGCACATGCTCAGAAAGACTGAAGCAGAATTTAAAGCCCCGTTTCATCTCCTAATTTTGTATTCTTGTTTGGATACCAATAAACTGCACGAAAATCAAAGAAATCAAAGCTTCCATACTTTGAAGAAATAAAATTTTCCTTCTTTTTGTTTTGTTTTTCTCGGTAACCAAACGCACGAGAAGGCTTTGGTTAAGAAACGGTACCTCTTCAGCCAAAAAACTCCCTTCTCATTTTGCAGCGAAACAAAAATCTGAGATAAACGCAGCAAAAAAAAAAAAAAGAGAGACTGAATCAGTAACTTAGAGAAGCCAGAGAAATTGCACTCATAAAGAAACAGAAAGAAAGAAAAGAAAAAAGAAGAAGAAGAAGATAATGAGCTCATCTTTAATTTGTTCAATTACACAATTAACAATAAAAAAACGAAATGCTTGAACTCGCAGAGAGGGAGAGAGGGAGGGAGAGAGAGAGAGAGAGAACATACATTGATGAGGTTGGAGAGAGAGAGAGAGAGAGAGAGAGAGAGTAGAAATGGGGGTTTTGGTTTACACTTTGCTTTGCATACACAAGAGACACACAGAAGACTACTGTCTCTTTCTTCTCTCTCAGCGAGCGAGTACCTGTGTTACTGTGTGTGAGAGAGACTCTTTTTCTTCTCTCTCTCTAAAGTAGTTGTGTATTATCCGTAGAGAGAGAGAGAGAGTGCGTGTGTTGGTTTGGTTGCTGTTGTTGCGTTTGGGTTTTATTTATGTGCAATCTATAATCCATCTATCTTTTCTGTTTTATGCAGCAGAAGCCTATATGTACTTTGCAGAGCAGCTATAGATTATAGATTTTGATATTTCATTTCACAAATAATACTACTAATATTATATTGTCACTGTCTTAGACGGCCATGGCCATGATGCTTGCCCACAGTTTCATTTTATGTGGTAATTATGATCACACTTAACAAAAACCATTAACCGAGTTAAGTATTTCTATTTAATCAATCGAGAGACGCGGGATTCGAATTTGAGAAATCTTTCGGCATTTATAAGAGAAATGTCATATAAAGACTTGACCTCTATTCTATTTAAAATTGTTATGTTCATTATTAACATGTTACAAAGCTCAAAGTGACAAATGGAAAATAAAAGTAATAATATTTATCTCCTCATCAGTCACTCAAAAGAGCCGTTACTTGTGGACAAATTGATAGTTTCCAAGTTTACACTAGTTTGGATAGTGGGGAAAAGAAAACAAAGAAAGAAGAAAGTGTTTCTACCTTAGAAAATACCAAAAAGAAAAAAAAAAAAAAAAAAAAAAAAAAAAAAAAAAAAACCAGAGGTTGGCATTGAGTGATTGACCAAGACAGAGGTAAAAAGCCGTTTTTACAGCCGGTGACATCTGTTTCTGTTGGGCAGGCAGGGCAAGCCGCACTCACCAGAAGCAAACCTGTCTGTCTCTATTCAATCTTTGCCGTACAGCTCAGCTCAGATCAGCTCAAAACTGTGCTGTAAAATCTTCGAGGTTTCTGATCCCTACAATTTGTTCACCTAAAAGCAAAAGTTGTCTGGTCCCTATTCCCCAAACAGCTTTAAAGTGGAAAACAGGATAAGCTTAATTAATAACAAAAGTACCCACAATTGTAAACAAACCTTGGTCCCAACCACCCTCTGGTTTCAAGTACCAAATTTAATTTCCCATGTCCTTGTTTCTTTAAGACTCCCATAAATAAACTACGGTGCAGGGTCAAGTTAGGAAGGATAAATGTTTCGAATGTGTTGCTGTCTCTTTTGAGGGGGAAATGTAGCCTAGTTTCATCTCATCTCTAAATTTTAATTTACGAGCTCATTTAGAAAGTCACTGGATAATCAATTTAGGAGTTCATTGACACGCAACTTCTTTTATTTACTTTGTATATAAGTGATATTGAAAGAATGTGAATTTTCTCACACATACTGGTCTGCAAGTCAATATCATTTCTACTCGGCACGTAACTTGATTAGAAATATTTCAAAAGTCTCTTCGGCAACTAGACTTTAAAATATTTTAGTCTTCATTGGTAATCGCTGGGGATATATAATCTAAAGGGTATATTTAAGTAAGGTCCACAAATTTAAATGCCAGCTTTGAATTTTTGAATGAGGCTTTTGAGTCATTACAAAATTATGTAATTGAACTCGTTGAAGGGCACTCATTCATTGGTTGGTTTCTTTGAAAATAAAAGTATACACCAGGTTGATTCTCCCCAATATGGGTCCATTGAAAGCTTTGTTTGTACGCAACGCAAGGAAGATACAATAGAAAATGATCTTGAGTCTTGACCCCTTGAGCCACTGGAGAGTTGTTGTTTTAGCATTTCTTTTTTCTGTTTCTGAAGATCTATAACATTTTTTTTTTAAAAAAAAATTGCAGAAAAATATTTTAACTTGAATTAAGTCAATACTTAAACCAATGAAAGAATCTTTGGGTATTTGATTCTCACTCCAAATATGGATTGTCTTAGACATGCATATATATAGGCATAACCATAAAGTGATATCCAGAGAAGTGTTTGAGATTCTACTAATTTGTTTGAACTTTCCAACTTCTCTGATCGTACAACAAGTTGGCTGGTCCATCAACAATTTTTTTTGTTTTTGTCCATCAACAATTTGAACAGCAAAAGTAAATACAAGTTGAGCGGCCTAATAATGTTCTCTTGGAAGACTAATATTGTGAGACTCCGGAACTAGACCGCAAATTCAAATGAGAATCAAGTTTACGAGTGTTTTAGATTCACAGCTCGACAACATGAGCAGCTTATGTTGCAAATTCAAATGAGAATCAGTTAGTGTTCGCTTGGCATTGCTTATTTGGGGGTCATAATAAGTGATTATTTTGAAATTTTTGAAAGCAAAGATCCCAAAATCAATTTTGGGTCTTTAAGAACTTATTTTTTTTAATTAAAGAAAGATTATTATTTTATATATAAGTGATATTGGGAGAGAGGAATTCGAAGATAGAACCTTAGATCTTCAAAAACTGCTCGTTGCCACTTTGAAACTACAAATCCCTTGCAAAAGAACTCATTCATGAACCGGCTCATGCATTTATTAGGTTTGTGGATGATGAACTTAAGCATTCAATACTAACCCACCAACCTATGGTTCCATTTTCAATCAAATTTGTGCGCTTAAATTTTAAAATTTGGAACCCACATGCCACAAGAAGTATGTGACATTTTCAACTTTCTCTCTTTCTGTCATTCAACCAATAGAAACATTCATAAAATCCAGCGAGTTCTTGGGACCGCAGGGACATACTGGAACAATATTTATAACATAATAAAAAAGGAACCCAGAGACAGATAAAAAGAAGAGAAACCGCTGTTCATCAATATTATATTAATTTCGTAACATAAATATGTTGGTTCATCTGGTTCATAAAGCTCATTCAATGTTAGAAGTTCAATGGGATGATGGGGAGGGACCATACTAGCACTTGCCCCACAAGCAAGGAATTCACGGGGCTTCCAAAAGCTGGTCAAAATTATACAGAAAAGAGATTTGAGGCATCTAATACAAGACACTATTTTATAACAGTTATTCCAAAGGATCGATGTCGATGACTCAACTCCATTAACTAAAGTTACTTGGGTTTTTTTTTTGTTTTTTTTTATAACAGATTGGTTTGTTTTAGACCATCATTTGCAGCTAAGGATTGGTTTAGATTGGATAACCAACCAGATTCTAGGTATGTTGAGGGAAAAAAATGGAGGTCTAACTTCCAAATTTGGTCTAAGTTGTAGAAGACGATGAATTGTTTTTTTAATACAAGCGATATTGAGAAAGAGGGAAACGAACTTAGGACATTGGATGCATGGGTAAATGCTCTTAACTACTTGAATTACAAGCTCCTTGCAGAAGAGCAAAGTAATCATTAAGCAAACATACACATTTTAATCCCTAAAAAATAGTAAGATATCGACACCTCAAAGTACCAGATTGAATGTATCATAAAAAGTTTTGTAGGTTTGTAGCATTCGTTATCTCTACTGGTGCATTGAAATGAGAAATCAAAGAAGATCATCTGATAAGCATATGACATCATCTCTTTGTTCGTTGGTTTTTGGATGGATGGCATAGAGAAGATCATCTGATAAACATGACATCATTTTGGCTTTTGGTTCTTGGGTGGGTGGTGTATCGAATTTTGCAAGGTATGCATGCATTGCAAAAACTGTAACTAAAACTGAAACTGAGAAAATGGTTGAGAAATATATTTGCTTGCGGATAAGTGGCAATGAGGGTAAAAAAGAAAGCCCATGATACCACACATCCTAAGGTGATATCCCATTACAATTAAGTTTTTCTCCGATCCAAATAACGGCAGCCTTGCATGAAAGAATTATTTCAGACATGCATCTTCCCAATATTTTGATGCAATTTTGAGGTGTTTAATAAAATAACATGCATCTTATTTGCGGAATATCTTTCCATGAGCAAGCACGGAAGGATTCATCAAAATCTTGTTTTAGGATTCAAAGAAACTAAAAGAGACTAAAAACAGTTTGTGGAAAAGCCAAGAAGCTTAAAACTTTATGTTCATTACGGATTTGCATAACCCAGCATTTGTTGTATGATGAGATTATACTAATTTCAGAAGCAATTATTTGCTAGACCAACCAAATTGTTCTGGGAGTACAACACTTTGACATCATTGAAGGAAAAAAGATGTATTTGACTTCATAAAGTAGAAAAAAGCCAAAACAAAAAACACACATAAATAACCTGCAAATCATATGAATGAAACTCCAAGATAAGTGGCATTTTCCACCACTCAATAATCTGGTTTTATGGGAACAAAACTCAATCCCATTGTAAAAATCGGTTTGGGATTAACTCCCCTATAACTGAATTATTTTAAGGAAAAAATTGCCGAAACAAGTTCTTCAAACTCAAAAAGATTTTCATCACCATCTAATAATGCTATCTGGCTTGGGAGAAACTACATTCTTAGGCACCACCAGATCCATACTTCTTCCCGAACACGATCAGCTGTAGCTTATCATAACCAGAAAGGACACCAGCACCAGCAATGGCACGGAGGATGTTGGCACCAGCACCCTTAAAGAGAGACTTGGCACCCTCATTCTTCAAGATCTGCTTGAAGGCATCCAGGGAGCTCTTGTACTTGACAGCTTCACCGGAGGTCATCATCATTCTTCTGCGAACAGTGTCAATTGGGTAGGAAGCAAGACCAGCACCATTGGTGATGAGCCAACCAAGGGCAAAGCTGGCAAAGAAACTATCCTGTAGTTTTTAAAACAAATAAAAAAGCAAAACGTTAAAAAGTTGAAAGCAAAGGGTTTTACATTCATATTGCAGTTCATAAGGTCAATAAAGCCAATCCAAACACTTATAGGGCAAGACAACATATCTCAATTAATTGAAAATAGACAAGGGCTAAGGTCAACAAATTGCACCATTGTTGTTACATATGATCCTTTAAGAACCAACAAAACAATAAATGCTTTATAGGACTATTTCTAATGCTTCACAACTGACACTAAGTAAAACAAGGGAAAGCTAAAAATAACAAGCAGAAAAATTGACAAATCATACAACAATAAGCCAAAAGACTTCTAATTTTGAGAGAGTAAAATAATGACTAATATAAGAAAAATTGTGCCATAAGTATGCAGACAAAATATATGATAATTAGGCAAAAAGCAATGAAAAATATCATAATTCATGCAACAAGCCACGTTAGTAAATGCAACCCTATCATAAGACCATATAACCATGAACCAAGAGGTTATGAATCAGAGTAGTCCACAAACCTGCAAACCTCCAGTCAGGACCACAGGCTTCAATGAATCATACAATCCAAAGTAGAGACCACGGTACACAATAATACCAACACAAGATATGTTGAATCCACGGTAAAGACCAGCAAGGCCATCAGATTTTAATGTCTTCCTGTAGACATCAACAAGACCATTGAATTGTCGTTCTCCTCCCTTCTTTGCAGCTTTAGCATCATTAGCCAAACGGGTACGGGCATAATCCAGAGAGTACACAAAGAGAAGGGAAGAAGCACCAGCAGCACCTCCTGATGCCAAGTTACCAGCGAACCATTTCCAGTAACCATCCCTGTCTTTCTTGAAGTTGAATAGCCTCTTAAAGTAATCCTTGAATGCAAAGTTCAAGGCCTGTAATAAATTCCATGAAGAAATTTTAGCAAATGTTCATATGAATTAAAAAA